TCTTAAAAGTCTAATTTGTTCTTTGGTTCCACTGATCTAGTGAAAGGCAGAACTGGCTTTACAACTATCTTTACAACTTTGTACTGCACTAGAAGGGAGTTGTAGAAGAGAACTCTGCCCAGGAGGCACTGGCCTAGATTGTGTGCTGAAGCTAACCAGTGCTTAGCATAGCTCAAGGAGTCAGGCTCAAGTTGCCTATAGGCCCGTTTTGTAGCCCCTGGATTTCAGAACCAATGAAGGACTAGTCTGGTTCCAATATAAGTTAGAACAATCTGAAGTCAAGTTTAACTAATGTCTGACTATCTGTGGCCCATAGGTGCTGAGTCCGTGGGGGTCTGAGGGCCCTGGCCCCCCTTAGGAAAAGGGTAGGGTGACCACCCATCCCTAAGTTGGCAGGACAGTCCCAAAATGGGAACATCAGGTCCTTGTCCCAGGCTGTATAACCCCAGGACAGCATTTGTCCTGGCTTCCCAGTATTGTGTTGGGATCCAGGTTTTCCATTCACCTTGGAAACCACAGGAAATGCAGATTTTCCCTTGCAGGCTTTCAGAGTTCCAGCCTGGAAGCAGCTGCAGGGAGTTGGATGCAGGGGGTGCCATGTGCAAGTGTGTGCGCATACACATGCACGTGGCCAGGAATACAGCTCCCAATAGTGATGAAGAATAGCTCCCCCAGCTGCCTGCAGGTAAGTCTGTGGGTGGGAGGAGATTGAAACCCCCACACTGAGAGAGGGATTGGGGCAGGGGTTGGGCCTGGGGTTGCTGCCCAGCAAGAGCAGTGCATGAGGCCTAGGGTTGGGGCAAGGGGGTGAGGGGGGTTGCTCTTTGCTGCTGCATGCACTCCTGGGGAAGGGAATATGGGGGACACGTACCAACCAGATTTATACTTGGGGAAGAGACAGATGCAGGCTGACCTTGGGGCTCCCTGCCCTGGTGCCCTCCTTCTGAAAGTCCCATGTCAGCTGCATCACCATGGCAAGGCAGCAGCAGGGGTGGCAGCATGGAGGTGTGCCCCCTATTGCTGCTGAGCAGGCAGGAGGTGCCTCACCATGGTAGCATGGCTTGCTCAGGGCTCCCAGGGGGAGGGCAGCAAGATGGGGAGCCTTGAGTCCACAGTAGACAGCCTGCATCTGCCCCTGCCCCTCTCCCTCTATCCCCCCCACAGGCTCCACTAAGCTCTGCTCTAGCCATGCCACTGGCAGGGGAGGGGAGGGCCATCATCTTAGGCCCCACAGCAAAAATTAAAGTCAGCACTTATGTGTGACAGAGAACCATTGGTACCTGTCACTCTAAGGGCTGGAGCACAGAGCTGCCAGGTGGCTGATTGCAGTGGCCATTTTTCAAACTTTGGCCAGCAGCCCAGGTTGAGCACCCAAGGAGGCAACATAGGGCTGACCTGCTCCTGAAACACCTTGGAAGTAAAGGTAGGACCTACAGGGGATGGTTTGGAGGCTCCTGGTACTGGGTATGACTTGAACTGCATCCTGCCAGGGAAGGATGGCCTGGTGGGGCTCCTAGTGGTGTGGGAGCCCCCAGGAAATGCTAAGCCAATTACCTCCCTGGTGAAAGGAAGGTAGGGTTGCCTTTAAACCTCAGCCCCCACTTTATAGTGCAGAATATATAAACTATGGGGCCAGGCATGCTGAGGAAAAGGCACCTGAGCCCCTGGGGTGTAAGATCCCCAAGCCCTGGAGAAGGCGCATAGAGTTAGCCCTAGAGAAGGGTCAGTGTGGAGCCCTAGAGAGGGGGCAGCATGGAGCCCAGGTAGAGCACAAAGGTGACCCCAGTGAGGGGTGGAGAGTGGCCCCAAGAGGGGGCACAAAGAGCCAACCGCCCAGAAAGGGGCCAGTGGTTAGATTCAGCCTAGGGTTAGGCATGGACCATCACTCACAAGTCATGTTGCAAGAAGCACCCAGAGAGCTGCAGAGTTGATCACTCAGAGTGAGTGTGAGTAAGACTGATGGCCTGAAGGCCACTTTTGGGGAGCAGAGCAGAGTGGAAGAGGGACAGAAGAGGGATGGAATGAAAGAGGCCCAATATAGGCTGTACAGGATGGACAGGATAGGAAGGAAAGGTGGGGGCGTGGCACTCTA